TTGTTAATTTACTTTTTAATTTTCGAAAAACCGCGACAATCCTGGACAAAAGATCTAAATCCGGGCAAATATTGCTTTTAGAAAAACCCGGGACAAAAGATGGAAATCCGGGCCTGTCCCGGCGAAACCGGTAATATTTAAATATCTTATTTAAGTCTATCATATTTATCTATGATATTATATTATATCTTTTTATCGATGATATTATATTATATTTTTTGATCTATATTTTTTATACTTTTGAGTCTCTTATAAATTTCTATTCAAATTTCTTTCATAATTTGAAAAAAATAGCACTAGTTCGTTCGTTTTCACTAGTTTGTTAATTTACTTATTAATTTTCGAAAAACCGAGACAATCCGGGACAAAAGATCTAAATCCGGGACAAATATTGCTTTTAGAAAAAACGTGGGACACAAGGTGGAAATCCGGGACTGTCCCGGCGAAACCGGAAGTATTTAAATATCTTAGATAAATCTATCATATTTATCTATGATATTATATTATATCTTTTTATCGATGATATTATATTATATTTTTTGATCTATATGTTTTTTACATTTTTGAGCCTTGTATAAAAATCTATTCAATTTTCTTCATAATTTGTAAAAACTAGTTAGTTCGTTTTCACTAGTTTGTTAATTTACTTATTAATTTTCGAAAAACCGGGACAGTCCGGGACAAAAGATCTAAATCCGGGACAAATATTGCTTTTAGAAAAACCCACGACACAAGGTAGAAATCCGGGATTGTTCCAGCCAATCCGGGAGTATTTAAATATCTTATTTAAGTTTATCATATTTATCTATGATATTATATTATATCTTTTTATCGATGATATTATATTATATTTTTTGATCTATATGCTTTTTACATTTTTTAGCCTTGTATAAAAATCTATTCAATTTCTTCATAATTTGAAAGAAATAGCACTAGTTATTTCATTTATTTGTTTATTTGTATTATTATTTGTTAATTTACTTATGAAAAATCGGGACAATCCGGGACAAAAGATCTTAATGCTGGACAAATATTGCTTTTAGGAAAACCCGGGACACAAGGTAGAAATCCGGAACTGTCCCGGCCAAATCGGGACGTATGGTCACCTTACATTTTACTTACCGACGGAAGTATTTGAATATCTTATATATATTTTTTTTTTTTTATCTCTTTATTTACAGCAATCAGAATACAAGGTATCCTATAAGCTATTGTGATAAATTTAACATATACACACACATGCATACGTACATGCACACAGACATACTCACACGCACTTTAACAAAAAAAGAAATTATATAATAGTAACCACTTCAGCAAGTGGTATACTATTTGACTCAGGTCCTTCGGCCATTTACTGGGAAAATTACATATTTTAAGATCTAATGTTATGAAATTATCATATACACTAACATACATACATACATACGCACATACATTCACACACACACTCTCTCAATAAAAGATTTATAAATATTTAATAGAAGTCACTTCATCAAGTAATATTCTGCTTAAATCAAATCACTCGGCCATTTCTTCTTCAATCTTCTGCTGTTTGGGGTTGCTAACAGTGGCGCCATTAGTGTGTTTGGATGATTTTCGAGCTTCCGGTGATGTTTTTCACTGATTGATTTGATGACTTCATTAACGAACTGTATATTTAGATCGTTATGGATCATCTGATTAGTTACGTACCAGGGTGCTCCTGTGATCAAACGAGTAATTTTTGATTGCATCCGTTGTATAAGAGCAATATTTGATTTGCTTGAGCAGCCCCAAATCTGAAGACCATAAGTCCACAACGGTTTAATTATCATATTATAAATAAGGACCTTGTTTTCTAGAGATAATTTGGATCTATGTCCAATGAGCCAGCCGAGTTCTTTAACTCGCGTTTTCATTTGCTTAACTTTAATGCAAATGTGATGACGCCAGATGAGTTTTTCGTCAAAGTGAATTCCAAGATATTTGATGGTGCTGACTGTTGGAATTTGATTGCCATTTAAGAACACTGCAGGACACGATTGTTTGTTAAGAGTGAAAGTAATGTGGCTAGACTTAGACTCATTGATGCCTATGTTCCACAGTTTGGTCCAATCTTCAATCAAATTAAGATGATACTGCAGTTTTAAACAAGCAGTACTAGGGTTGTCATCAGTGGATAAGATTGATATGTCGTCTGCAAAAGTGGCGATTGTGGTAATAGACGTTGTAGGAATATCGCGCGTAAACAGGGTGTATAGGAAATACGTCAGACGACGAGGACTTAACCTTGATTATAAACTTTCTGTTGACAATATATGATGTTAAGATATTATGATACTTTACTGGTAAGTAGAGTCTAATTTTTGTGACGAGTCTGTCGTGGCACACTTTGTCGAATGCTTGTTTGACGTCCAAAAAGACGGCGGTGCAATATTGTTTGGATTCGAATGAGTTATAGATATGACTGGCAATCCTGTGACACTGCTGTATGGTTGAGTGCTCTTTACGAAATCCAAACTGGTGATCAGGGAAGATATTGGATTCCTTCAAAATATCTTGTAGTAACAGTTTTTCTAAAATTTTTGACAATATAGGAAGAAGGCTGATTGGCCTATAAGATGTGACTAAGTGTTGATCCTTGCCAGTTTTTGGAATCATCTTTATTAAAGAGGTCTTGAATTGATTTGGCCAGTAGTCAAGTCTCACAATAGCGTTGAAGATATAGGTGATTATAATGAATCCTTTTACAGGCAATTCTTTGAGCATTCTGGGAGATATTTGGTCTATTCCAGGCGATTTTTTTGCTTTAACTTTCTTTATTTCACTAACTACTAATTTGAGAGACAAGAAACGTTTCTCGCTTTCGTGACTGCTATTATGGTCTAAAGCAGGACTAATGTTGACATTATAATTTGATAAATTGTTAGGCCGAAAGACTGTAGCTAAGTATTCCGCAAATATATCTGCTTTGTCTTTGTCACTTCTTGCCCATGCAGAGGTCTGGGTATCCATACGAACTGGAGGATTTTGAAAGTAAGGTTTAAGTTTATTTTTGACGGGTTTCCAGATAGAATTGTCAAAACGATTCAAACTGGATACATAGTTATTAAATCTCACTTGATTGAGTTCCTTTAACCTTGCTTTCAACTTGTTGCTCAGATTATTGAAAATGTTTTTGTCTGTGGGCAAATGACTATGTTGCCACCTACGCCTAGCTTTTCTTTTTTCTGCTATGAGCCTTTTAATTTCATATGTTGTTGTCTGGCAGGAGTTTTCTGTCGTAACAGGAGTAGGAGTAGCAAACTTTGCAGCATCATATAGAAGAGTATTAAAGGAATCGATGGTGTTTTCGATATCAGCGGAATTTTTAAGTTTAACTTTGAGGTTAACTTTGTCTTCTACGAACTTCCGGTAGATGTCCCAGTTTGTTTTATGGTTGCAGATCCTAGAGGAGGGTTTAGAAATACTTGCCGATGTGCTTATGCTGGCTATTACTGGACTATGGTCAGATGATAAGTCGTAGCTTGCTCGTACTTCCTTGTGAATTGAGCTTATACCCGAAATATCTTATATTTAATTTCATATTCTTTTAAGAAGAAGAAGATTCTTTCCACGAGAATATCCGATTTGTTAATTTTGTTTTCTGGGCGTTTCAAGTCATTCTGAATCGAATTAGTTGAATTTGGAAAAAGCATCTATGTGTATGTGACCCGATTTTTCGGGCTAAATCGACTTAAAAAAATTAAAAGCCATTCGAAGTAACTCGATGATGATTCATTGTTGATAAAAAAATATCGGCGATTTTAATAATTTTTTTTTAATTACAATATTTATTACAACTGTTAAATAATTAACATCTAGCAATATTGATAAATAATAACATAAATTATTAAAATTTGGTATGGCGATATAATATCTAGTCTTAATGAATATGTATATTAAAATATTATAGTCCTACGAAAAGTAGTTTAATTATAAAAATTAATCAAAATTTGGATTAAACGGCCGCAATTTTAGAAAACTCTGTGTATGTATTAGGCACGTGTTTGTTTTTCAATAATTTGTAATAAAAAAGTACCAAAGTGAATAATTTGCAATTGTTACTCAAATGGCAATACGATCTAAAATAAAATGTCAAAAAAAAAGAGATATCTCGTAGGAGATAATCTCTCAAATGCATTTACACCCAGCATATTGTCTTAAAAAAATTATATTATTTTGATCGGCAATAAATTTATGCAAATAAAAAAAATGTTACTCACATTATATTGCTCTATATCAACTTTGTGTACTTATGAATCACTCATAAATTAATATATTAATTTGTGGGAGTTCAAGCAACTTGCCATACGGCAAAATGCTATTTGCAACTTGGACATATTTATTTCTATTACTTACTATTTAATTTGTCTGTATTTTCAATAATTCCGTTTTAAACTTTGGTTTTCATTTGATTATTATCGGAACCGCTAAAAATTAATTGGTATATTATTCTCGCGTTTGGTGAATTTTTACTATACATATTGCATAATCTGCTTACTAGATTTTTGTATCTGTATTGTAATTTTTGCCATTCATCATTGTGATTTTATACAGGCCTCCTCACTTAGATTCTTAATAGTGACTATTACTGCTATTAATTTTAGGGGCAAAAAAGATGTGTTAATCTTTTCTGTTCGTGAATGAAAAAAAGATAAAACTTATGAAAATCTCTTCAACGAACATCAAATATTAATCCTTTCCACTCGGATGCCGCAAAATACATATAAATCTCGCAATTCGCGAGTGGAAAGGGTTAAATGTGGACACAAGTAATAATAATGTACTTCCATGATATTTAATATTTATAATTGATTAAGAGTATCAAACTTTAAGAGTAAGAACACCACTCGAATAATTTTATCATTCAAGATAAGATTTGTTTTATCATATTTGAGTAAAACGTTTCCACCATGGTATAACATGAATCCGATCCTTGGCGAAAGTGAATGTTAACTGGTAATAAATCTTTTAAGCGCTCGCTTGTTCGATAGTTCTGCGGATTGCCAATAAACATTTGTGTGACAATATTAATTTAATATGTAACGAATCTCTATTGAGTAACAATGGACAGATTAACCGGACTGCTCGTCCTTTCAAGTGATTTGAATGAAAACTAAATAATATCATAGTGATGACAGTTACAAAGTGTTAGTTTTGCTGAAGCAAGTGCATGTGATTAAATTTTACGCCACTGGTTAAAATATAAAAAGAACAATCAACATGCGCGGGGTACTACTGTCCAGCGGGTCCAGTAGTGATCAAGAAAGGACCAGCAAAGGTAAATTAAAATATAGTTTGATGCATTTAACTGTTTGGAAAAAGCATTTATGCCCTACATTTGGTTATATTTAATTTCTCTGGAAATGGAGGAAACGAAAGTGTCTTCTTCAAGTTTTGAGCACAAATGATATAGGGGACCTATAGGGGCTTGTGTTAGCAGTATTTTTTCAAATTAATATATATTTAGATTCATTGATTATATATTTACGAAATGAAGGTGGATAGCTGCATGAACTATTTCTATACCAAATCAAGTAAAAATTATTCCACAACTTACGTTCATTATTATACAATTAATCATTATTTAGAAAAAGTGTTATAACGTACCTCGTATTTGTGGCTAGTTGTAACGTCTGCCAAGACAAGTAGTAACGACAATAACACCTTTGATAATTTATTTTTTACTTATGTTTAAAATAATGACTTCTTAGCAATAATTTTTATAAATTAAACGCAAACTATAATTAATACAAATTAAATATAAAATGTCTCCTGTAATACAATTTTTTATCATAAATCAAATTAAACTACAATTATCATAATACAAATAAAAGATGTAGTGCCTCTTGTAGTACAATTCACATTTGCCCACGTCTTACAAACTATAAATCCCACCCAATCCTTTTCACTTGAATCTGTATATAATTATTGTATGTTACCCTCGTTACATATAGCCTCCAGCCCTCCTACTAATAAGACTATGTTAGTATATGCATTTGTTGCGATATTTATGCGTTATCAAAATCTTTCCGGTGCAATATTTAAACTTTTATCAACATATTTTAGATTTAAACTTGAATTCTTGTGTAACGACCTTGAAATGTTTTAAATAATTTGTATTTCCATGATAATTTGTGGGAACCAACACTGACTATCAATTGCATTTTTAGTCTTATCATATTTTTTAAATTTCAATTAAATTTGTACAGTATATGTTATTTTTTAATGTGTCATACATACCTTAGGTGACCATATTTTTTTACGTCAAAACCGGGAGGGTAATTTTTATTACTCTTATTTGGCTAAAATACTGACTTTTAGTAAGACTTTTATTATTCTATATCTTTTATTTTTGGATCTACGTTTTATCGCTTCTAATTTTGTATGAAATTCTGTTGAATTTTCTTCGATTTTTTTATACTTTTCGAAAACCTGGGACAATCCGGGGAAAAAGATCTAAATCTGGGACAAATATTGTTTATAAAAAAGGCCGTTTATAAAAACGTCCCTTGTGTGGTCACCCTATACATACCGCGTTTAGTGACCTGCTTATCTAAATATTTATCAATTTAATATTGACGTAATTATATTTGAGAAAAGCTATAATACATTTTTCTATGAAAATGTGTTAAAATATATATTATTCACCTGCGAATATTAATTATGAGAACGGTTGAAGAACTACTTCACGAAGTTTTAATGAGGCTAAATCGTACAGCATTCTCATTAAAATTTATTTAATATTCTGTTTTAAGTTTAATTTTACTTATTCCGGAAAATCATGAAAACTCTTTCATAGTTTAATGACCTAATGGAAAAGAACGGAATTGCAATTACTGCATAGTTCATTTTATGAAAGCACAATACGTTTTTTTTTAACTTTATGGAAAAAGTAATTTCGTATAGAATTCGAGATAATTTAATTCTTACGATTGACTTCTCTAGATAATTTTCCATAGTAGATTTTAACCTTTGACGTTTTATACCCATTATTGCGTTTCTTTGTATAGAAAAGCCATTGCATACTTGGCAGATTTGTGATTTCAGTGCTTTCGTAACTATCTTCACATAACCATTCTGGATTTAAAGTTAGATTTGAAGAGAAAGGTTATATATATATATATATATATATATATATATATATAACATATATATTTCATATATTTATATGAATTTTAAATATTATGATATAATATATATATATATATATATATATATATATATATATATATATATACTTTTACTGCATATACTATAATAATATAATTCTTTCTGAATTTGTTATACTGTTTAAAAGACTGCAATTTTTAAAACGTATATCTTATGTTAAGATAAATGAATCACAAAGGCAGAACATTAAATAAGATATTATAAAGGAATTGTAGACGTAGGTACAGGACAAAGTCTGTCGGGTCATCTTCTATATATATAAAAATAAGTCGGGTTTTCCTTTCTGACGAAATAACTCCAGAACGCACGAACCGATTTCGACAATTTTGCATTCGTTGGAAAGGTCTCGGGCTCCGCAAGGTTTATAGCTAAGAAAATTAATGATGCATGGCATCGTGCCCTAATGCAAATTGCTGGAACTTCACGCACCGTAATTAAAAAATCGAGTATTAAAAATAATCAATAATTGCAATTGTTTTAAATAATCTTCTATATATATAAAAATAAGTCGGGTTTTCTTTCCTGATCAAATTTTTCCTTTTCAAATATAAAACAAACAAAAAATTTCTTCATCCTACTCACGAAACCATCTGGTGGCGAAACGGAGTTCGTCGGGTTTGCTAGTCTAGTATATATATAATATATATATATATATATATATATATATATATATTTGAGGTCCTGTTGACTCTTTTTCAGTAATTGAGCAAATAGCCGGGAAGATCAACTAAAGTCATTAATGACTACTCGTGATGACAACACTTTTTCGCGATCATAAATTATTTTGATTAAAATACATGGTCATTTGTATGAATCATAACCTTATATTGAGGAATGAATCGTATAAATTTTGGCAGTACAATTTGATTTTAAAGTTCAACTCTAAATTATATTAAACTTTAAATGCTCACATGTATGTACATATTTGTTAGTGCATAAATAGTAGGTTTATTAATTTTTTTCTTGCAATAGTATTTGAGATTCGCAATAGTGATGACACTTTTTAAAGGTGGCCTTTTTATTAGATTTTTTTTATACTGATGATTTTTAATTTGATGCAGCAATGCCTATATTTTCAAGCTGCCCAGAGTTCAAATCTGGATCTTCTGGTTGAAACCGAAACCACTAAATCCCGGGCATATACAAATTATAATCTGCAAATATAATTTGTCAGTTCAATATCAAAATGTTAATTGATTTGTCGCCTGAAAATGAACGCAAGAATTTATTTTATAAACTAATATGCCTGTTATATTTCCAGCAAGTCTTATAATTATAATAAACTGTCTGATTTCACCGCGATTTGATATCAGAACAGTGTATAAAAACATGAATTATGTATCAGTTTTGATCTCATAAGCCTTTTATCTTTTAAAATATATCATTCATATCATTGTATTATATATTTTTGCTTATACATCTTTGTAATTGATATTATCAAGTGTTTTTTTATAAATAAAATTGGCTTAATATTGAATTTTTTATTTTACTTATACTTTTTGATAATTTAGTCCTAAATCAAAATCCCGATAATAAAATGTATTGAGAAATGGATGCTTTATAGACATTCATTTTATTATCGATATATTGATTAAAATTATATTTGAAACCTTGTTCAACAAATTTAATTAAAACTGTGGTGTTAATAAATATTGAAAGTGATTGATTTCTTCTGCCATTTGCAATAAGCTTTTTATATAGAAATCTTGCAACAATAGAAATTCGTCATAGGTTACGCGAGAATACGATAAAATATGTAGCTGACAATAATTATCTAAATAGGAAATATGAATAAGTTGCTAGTTTTTTGTAATGCCGACATGAATAAGCTTGGACTTTAAATACATTTTTGACAATATTTAGTAGCACACAACTTTTTTTATTTTGAACGAATAATCTAGATCATATGAATCGCAGGATTAAAAATAATAATTTTTTCACTTAAGTAGCCACTTTTTTGGGTCTGTGAACGAAACTTTTTAAAACTGCATAATCAGGTACATACTTGTGATACTTGTAATTCTACTTGATTTCATATTGTGAACTCACTTTAAAAACTCATTGACGAGATTAGTTTCGCCTTATATATTTATAAAAAAAATTGTTTGTAACTCCAAAAGCTCTCGATCCACTATTTTGATCAAGCTTTTTGTTGCTATATTTTTGGAGTTAGGTTAAATTCTGTATTTGCTGGTTAGAGAAGATTCATGTCTCTATTTACTTGGTCTACATGTGGATTTTATTCAAAGACTTTATGGTCTTTTGCTATCGTTTCATGGTACTAATGAAGACTTATTTTAGAATATATAGTGCTATGGCGTCGTCTGTGTCATTTTCATAAAATGCATACTTGCGTATAAATTATGGAAAACATTATGCGGAGGAAATGCAAAGTCGCATCAACTTAAAAAATTTCCGTCGTTCTCTGAAGTCTCGAAATAAATTTTTAATGCCTTTGGAAGCTTCTTGTGGTTTTTATTTTAAATCTTGGTGCTTTTATTGAGTAGCTTTTATTTAGCATTTAACCATCTAAATGACAAGTATACTCGTTAATACACAGAATTTTACTACTTCTTCATGACGAATATACTAGTCTATCATAATTAACTGGTTAAGGCTGTTGTTTCCAACTTGTGGGGCGCGCCCCTTCAGATGGCGCAAGGCTGTTGCAAGGGGGGGGGGGTACCACTGTTTAAAATACTTACTTCGAAAATAAACAAAAAAATTTGAAATGATCTAAAAAAAAAATTAACAAAAATAATTATTTTTTATGCTTATTTCTACATAATATTGCATATTAATTTGTAATATAATATTAGTTGAGTGTTTATAAAATGAAATTGTTGAAAAAATTAAGAGTGGCGCAACAATTTTTTTTATTAAAAAGTTAAATACCACTGAGTTAAGGCAATATATGAAGCGGATTAAATTCCTAATTTATTTCAATAAATATCGAGAAGAACATGTAATTTAGAGATATAGAGATCGATTTTTGGAATACTGAAGCAATTGTTAAATAATTCAAAATATAAAATACAATAATAATACTAATTGAAATAAATGGAATAAAAACTAGTTCTTAAACTTGAGTTAAGAAAAAATAACTTT